CACGCTGTCCTAGTCACACTGACAAATAGGTCAATATCGTTATGCCCCATCTCAATAAGTTACAACCTGTAACGATATATGTGGCAATTCTACTCAGAATATTTGTACAGGGAAATTCCATTGTTGCCATCAACCTTTCATTTTGCATGCCAAACATCACATTCTGACACACTGAAACTCCCCTTAACGATTTGTTTATGTGATTCGTGGTATTCGATGTATTGATATATGTATTTTTTGTATCTTTTTTCCAAATTTGTGCTATATATGTGCCCAAGAACTAGAAGTTGTTTAACTTAAACATTGCCCTTTACTATATCATATTGTAATGTTGTGTACCTTATTAAAGTGGACATTATATTACACTATATCATATTGTAATGTGATGTACCTTATTAAAGTGGACATTATATTACACTATATCATATTGTAATGTTATGTACCTTATTAAAGTGGACATTATATTACACTATATCATATTGTAATGTTGTGTACCTTATTAAAGTGGACATTATATTACACTATATCATATTGTAATGTTGTGTACCTTATTAAAGTGGACATTATATTACACTATATCATATTGTAATGTTGTGTACCTTATTAAAGTGGACATTATATTACACTATATCATATTGTAATGTTATGTACCTTATTAAAGTGGACATTATATTACACTATATAATACAATACTTTTATGCACTTTATTAAAGTGGAAATTATATTACACTATATCATATTGTAATGTTATGTACCTTATTAAAGTGGACATTATATTACACTATATAATACAATACTTTTATGCACTTTATTAAAGTGGACATTATATTACACTATATCACACAATACTTTTATGTACTTTATAAAAGTGGACATAATATTACACTATATCCCACAATACTTTTATGCACTTTATTAAAGTGGACATAATATTACACTATATCATACAAAACCTTTATGTACTTTATTAAAGTGGACATAATATTACACTATATCACACAATACTTTTATGTACTTTATTAAAGTGGACATAATATTGCACAACATTATGTTGTAATGTTATGTACCTTATTAAAGTAGACATTATATTACACAACATCATATTGTACTGTTATGCACTTTATTAAAGTAGACAATTTATTACACAACATATTGTACTGTTATTTACATTATTAAAGTGGACATTATATTACACTATATCATATTGTAATGTTGTGTACCTTATTAAAGTGGACATTATATTACACTATATCATATTTTAATGTTATGTACCTTATTAAAGTGGACATTATATTACACTATATAATACAATACTTTTATGCACTTTATTAAAGTGGAAATTATATTACACTATATCATATTGTAATGTTATGTACCTTATTAAAGTGGACATTATATTACACTATATAATACAATACTTTTATGCACTTTATTAAAGTGGACATTATATTACACTATATCACACAATACTTTTATGTACTTTATAAAAGTGGACATAATATTACACTATATCCCACAATACTTTTATGCACTTTATTAAAGTGGACATAATATTACACTATATCATACAAAACCTTTATGTACTTTATTAAAGTGGACATAATATTACACTATATCACACAATACTTTTATGTACTTTATTAAAGTGGACATAATATTGCACAACATTATGTTGTAATGTTATGTACCTTATTAAAGTAGACATTATATTACACAACATCATATTGTACTGTTATGCACTTTATTAAAGTAGACAATTTATTACACAACATATTGTACTGTTATTTACATTATTAAAGTGCTAATTATTATATCTATTTTTTTTATTTTATATTATATTGTACTTTATTATAGTGTACCTCATTATATTTGACCTAAAATGATGTTGAACTGTAGTGTATCGTATTAGAGTATATATTATTAGGTAATGTATTTAATTATTTTGCACAGCTATTTACTTTAATAGTAAAGATAATATTTTACTTTTTTTTGCATTTAATTATACAAATACATATTATAGTCTTTAAATAGAATTCTATTTAACTTTACTGTCATTTGATATATATTTTACATTATTGTAATGCAATTTTCATGTATAATGTAATTTCTTTAATTGATCTGTATTCTCTTGTTCTGCATTGTACTGCACTTTTTGAAACTGGTGTTTGGGTCTGGATGCTAATTAGATAAGCAGTGTTCCAAGCCAGAGAGTATTGATTACCACAGCCTAGCTAACAGTTCCATTTATAAAATAATCACTGCACATTATTTAAATTTCATCATGTTCACATTGCTATATAAATCATGTGTTTAATTCATCCACATGTACATTATTTTCCCTTGATACAAGCCTAGCATGACTGGGTTGGATCTGAAACTACAGGGTTTGGTGGGGCGGGCCGGGTACTGCTGAGTACCTACCAACTGTGGCCCAAAGCATCGGAAGGGAACCTCAGAGCAGTGGACGCAGTTTGCATGGTATTCCCTGATGGCACTGGCCTTATTCCACACGATAATGTTCGGGAATGGTTCGAGGGACATGATGAAGAGCTTAATGTGTTACCATGGCCTCCACACACCCCAGATCTTAAACCTTGCAGACTACAGGACATCTGCATGTGCATTCCTCTGAAGGTAACACTGTTTGTCAGCATGTGGAGGACCAACAGCATATTAGGCAGGTATTTACAGCAATAAACTGTATTTACAGCAATAAACTGTATTGTATAGTGCAGCATAACCAGATGGTTAAATAGTATTCTATCAGAATTTGTTCTCTTCTTGTATGGTTTTATAATGTATTCTAGCGTATTTTTTGTAGTGTGATTTATTTATTTGTATTTTAGTGTATGGTATGTTGTTTATTGAATTTTGTGTAGTGTATGGTATGTTGTTTATTGTATTTCATTATTTAATGTCTTTGTTTTGTATAGTGTATCCAGAAAGTACTTCACTTGTTCTACATTTTGTTAGGTTACAGCCTTATTCCAAAATAGATTAAATACATTTTCCCCTCAAAATTCTGCACACAAAGTGAAAAAAATGTGTCCAATACCTTTAATAGATTTGCAAAGGTTTCCCCAAAACATTATTTTCACGTTATCATTGTGCAGCGTTGTGTGTAGAATATTTGAAGAAATAGTGAAGCATTGTGAATACCTTCAGGATGCACTGTATTTAACGATTAGTGTGTTGTATTTGTGTAGTGTAGTTGTGTATTGTAGTTGTGTGTAATTCTCACAGTGAATGCTTCCTGTCCCTCATGCATGGTAATACAGTCCATGCTGATCTGGATGGTGTTGCCAGCAGGTCTGTCTCGATCTCCCACGTCGTCTGAGAAGTTCAGCTCTATGGGCTGCACGGAGTGGAACGCAGACCTAGAACGTTGGACGAAACACACTGATTAAGCATTTTGTGTGTGTGTGTGTGTCTGAGAGGGAGGCAGTGTGTCTCTGTTTGTGCCGTGTGTTTAACTTACTGGTCCAGCATCTCCAGCAGCTGGTTGAAGACATCCTGACTGAGGAGGTCAGAGCCCTGTCCTGACTGATTCTGTGACATCATGGAGGCCAGGAAGGAACTCTCTGTCCAGGAGAGACGTGATGAAGGGTCTCTTAACCTTCGGAAGTGGAGAAAGAAGTAAAGGAACAAGATTACTAACTAGAAACTACCACAACTTACCAAGAACAACCACCACATCTGTCTTGGAACAACCACAACTGACTCGGAACCACCACAACTGACTCGGAACAGACAGTTGGTGAAGTGGCGAGGTCTAAGACACCGTGAAGCGCCGTGGTCTAAGACATTGTGAAGCGCCGTGGTCTAAGACATTGTGAAGCGCCGTGGTCTAAGACATTGTGAAGCGCCGAGGTCTAAGACATTGTGAAGCACCGTGGTCTAAGACATTGTGAAGCGCCGTGGTCTAAGAGGCCGTGAAGTGGCGTGGTCTAAGACGTCGTGAAGCAGCGTGGTCTAAGACATTGTGAAGCGCCGTGGTCTAAGACACCGCGAAGCAGCGTGGTCTAAGAGGCCGTGAAGTGGCGTGGTCTTAGACACCATGAAGTGGCGTGGTCTAAGACACTGTTCCTAGTCCATTGCACTGCAGCAGAACAGGTTTGAATCTTCTCTACCTTTCAATCAGCCAATCAGACAGCCAGTTTGTCAGCCAATCAACCGGTCTACTGGCCCACCAATCATTCAGCCAATCAGGCCGTAAGTTAGTCAATCGACCAGTAAGACAGCCAGCTAGTGATGCATGAGGGCAGATGGGACAATCCAACACCAGCAGTGTTTGAGAGAGAGAGAGTCCCATTGTTCACTGCTGAAGTGGCAGTCAGACAGACGCTGTTGTCCTACGTGTGTGTGTGTGTGTGCATAAATGTGGGTCTGTGTCTGAGCCCAGCGCACAGCCATTCGGAAATCCCCCCACAGTCCATACGACACCACAGTATTGGCTGGCTGAGATTCACAACGCCTGGTATGTCTGGAGCTGCACAGAGCTGGACGGACGGGACGGTGAGCGCGTGTGTGTGTGTGTGTGTGTGTGCGTGTGTGTGTGTGGGGGGGGGGCGCATCTGAGGGTTCTAGTGTAGGAGGGTGGAATTCCCCCACATTCACTTACGTGTGTGTGAGTGTGTTTAGGGGGAGATGAAATTAATACCCAGTGACTTTTCAAAAACACAGTCAGGCAATTTTAATGAAGAACATCATCTGAGCATGGCTGTTCATAAACCACTGGGTGTGAGTGTGCGTGTGTGTGTGTCATTTAGAAACTGGACTTGGGGGCGTGCACTATTAGACTTAAAGTAATGTCTTTACACCCACATAAACAGAGACGCCGCTAGCCCCCTATTCTGTGTACTGTGGTATTGTATGTTCTCATCTACAGGTTTGTTCTGCTTCGTGGGACGTTCTGTTTCAACCCTCACCATGTTGTGGTTTCACCCACCAGCAGCGGTTAAACACCCACCAGCAGCGGTTAAACAGTCTGACTGATCTGTCGTTTTGTGCTGCTCATTTGGTGGAGCATGGACTCCGTCACGCCAAGGGTCGTGGGTTCGAATCCCGCCAGAGCGAACGCATTCAGAACTGTCAGCTGAGTGCCTTTGCTAAATGACAGACACATCACACAGTGCAACTGGCACTGACACAGTATATGAGTGTGACAGTGTTTTCACGCATCCCAGCCTGCAACCTTTATTCCTTTAAATCTCGACACATGTTCCTCTCGTTCCATTGGTCAATAATTATGGAATGGACTGTGTGTGTGTGTGTGTGTTGGCCGGCGGAACGGGTCAAATTAAATACCTTTCATCTTTCTCTCGAGGCTAAAAACGAACCCAGACACAACGTTTGCTCCCGTCGTCTCCCCGAATACCTCCACCTCTCCCTTTCCCAACATCCTGGGCACGGCCAGGTCTCCGCCCCCCGTCCCCCCGCCCCCGCCCCTCCTTATGAGCCGTGGGGGTGTGGTGCACGGGCAAGCAGAGAGAGAGAGGGGGAACGTACGCATCAGTTGCGTTACTAGAACAACACGCTACTGCCAAGCCTGTCATAAGGGAGAAAGGACTTATTCAGCCCAATGTGTGCACTATGCCATATAGACGTAGTGATTTGGCAGAGGCAAACGTGGGAGCGCTTCACAACTCGCACCCTGTTCCCTACGCGGTGCCCTCCCTTGGACCCTGTGCCCCGTGGCGAAGTGTATGCGGGGATAAGGAACCAGGGTGTCATTTGGGACACACGGGTGGGGGAGAATTGGGTTCTCTTGTCAGTCAACGGCCACATCCAATCCTCACTTTTCCACTTACCCATTGTGTACGGAGGAAAAGTAAATCCTGTTGTATTTTACATGGAACAGAGGGCACACGCAGTTCACAATCTTTTGTGCTGATGAGCAAACAGGTCTACATGCTTTATTGCGCACGCTGAAATAGCTACAGACTGGGTGGTGTGGGTGGGGTGGGGTGGGGGAGGGTCACAGACACCTCCCACCGCGCAGGTGGGGGTAACTGAACGTCACAGGGGTAAAACAAGCACCAGAGAAGACTCCCAGAATGCGGTATTCAGAGGAGAGGAGCTATGGTGAAGATGGCTGTATCCGTGCCAACCAGAAGTTTCAGTTCCACAGGGAGCAGGGGGTGAAGGTCAAATCAGTGCAGAGGGTAAAGGTCAAATCAGAGCAGAGTGTTGAGTGAAGGTCCAATCAGTGCAGAGGGTAAAGGTCATATCAGAGCAGAGGGTGAAGTAATGGTCATGCAGTCATCTATGCAGGCCTGCGATGAAACACCTACATTAATGTTCTATTACTTATTATATACAACATAGACCTATATTACTATTGGATGGAAGAATCCCTGTAGACTCATATTACTATTGGATGGAAGAATCCCTGTAGACTCATATTACTATTGGATGGAATAATACCTGTAGACTCATATTACTATTGGATGGAAGAATCACTTTTTTCTTATTTGATGAAGGCACAGTGAACTACAGTACATGTATGGAAGGAGGGACTAGGTAAGGAAAGAGGAGAAATATAAAGTGAACCAATCAACAACAAAAGATGACATCACTGCCCGAGGAAGAGGTAGAGTCACAAAGAGAAGGACCCCTGAACAACCATGTTCCCCTGGTAGGTCCCAGGTCAAGAGTAGTGCTCTATGTAGGAATTAGGATGCCATTTGGGACTACAATATCCAGAGAAGCAGAAACCAGCAACCAAACAACCCCCCTGTCCGGCTGCCTAGCAACCTCACTGTACTGCTGCCTAGCAGCCAAGCATACGACTGCCTAGCAACTCCGGTGTACAGCTGCCTCCTAGCAACCCCAGTGTCCGACTGCCTAGCAACCCCACTGTACAGCTGCCTAGCAGCTCCAGTGTCCAACTGCCTAGCAACCCCAGTGTACAGCTGCCTAGCAGCTCCAGTGTCCAACTGCCTAGCAACCCCAGTGTACAGCTGCCTAGCAGCTCCAGTGTCCAACTGCCTAGCAACCCCAGTGTACAGCTGCCTAGCAGCCCCAGTGTCCGACTGCCTAGCAACCCCACTGTACAGCTGCCTAGCAGCCCCAGTGTCCGACTGCCTAGCAGCCCCAGTGTCCGACTGCCTAGCAACCCCAGTGTCCGACTGCCTAGCAACCCCAGTGTCGTTCTCCCTGTATGAGGTACCACCTACACACGTCCAATGGCCTTTAGAAATACGATGTGAATGCGTTGACAAATACTTACACAAATAAAGTACTGCGTGCTAGAATTGCACCCCGAATGTCACTTGTTTTCTTACATTCCATTGCACTGCTTTTGACCCGAGGCCCATTGATTTCCTGTCAAAATGTAGCATACGATACAAGATAGGGTGCACACTCACCCTGAGTGTGGAGGAGGGAGAACAGTCATTTTAATTTAATAGATTCCCGGTTGATGGGGTTTCTTCTGAATTGAGGTGTGTCCTGAATCACTAGCGGGTGAGTCACATGGAGGAGCTGAAAGGTAGGTTTTGTTATAAGTGATTGTGTTACCGTGATGTCTCATTCGCTCGCTATAATTATTATTATTATTTTATTTGACATTTGTCTTCTCACTCCACTGTACCTACTGACACCGATTTATGCGCTTTTACAACCCAGACATGTTAAATTTCAAGATACATGTACTAACCATTCAATGCTCTGAATATGAGCGACTGCAAAATTTGATGTACGTTAAATTGCATTTGACTGATGGCAATTGCAGTGTTTTGAACATCGTTAGGGTTGCACGATTACATGTGAGGATTAATAAGGATAACATTTATACGGTCCATAAGAAATAATTCTCCTTGTTTAGACTAGCCAGTAACCCCTCAAAAGGACTTCACCGTTTAAGAAAGAAACAAGGTTTTGTCTGAAGCCCAGCCAGAGTAAGGTCTGCGGTTAGCTGGGCTGTTGTGGGTATTTGGAGAATGGTTTATCCTTGGGACTGGTGTCTGGTTACTGGGAAGCTATTTAGCCAGTCAGTCTTTCTGCCCAAGGGGAAGGCTGTTCAACGTCTACACGGACAGGAGGGCAGGACGGGCCTCTCTCCAGCCTAGGGCTCCGACAGCCCCTCACACGGCCCAGACTGAAGCCTGAAGACCGGGCCAGAGGTCACCGCTAAACAGGGCCGGGACAATGTCTCCGGCCAGGTTGGTCACATCCACCGATGAAAATGCAATCAAAACAAACAGAGCAGCCGATATGGGGCCATCTCCAGTGTCCTCGTTAATCACACCTTCAAAGACCTCCCGTCCTTCACCCGCTCGTCCGTCTGACGCTCTCCCCTCTGGCAACCCCTCTTCTCGCTGCCTCCTCCCTTCTTCCTTGTCCACTTAAGTCTCCCCCTTTACCTCCCCCTGGTCTCTCTCATCCCCCTCTTCTATTCATCTGTCTACTTGGCTAAAAGAGGGACATGACTGCTGAACAATAGAAAGTCCACAGTTTCTCTTTTACAGGTAAAATCGTCTGAAATAAACAATTTAAATACAGACAAAAGGCAATCAAATCTACCACATTCAGACTGGAAAAAAGGTGGTAGATTTGTTGATATACTAGATAATATTACTGTATTATTTTATTCTGGTGAAAGAGACCTAAATCCATGGGAAATGTAATTGACTACATCAGGTAAGAAACATCTCAAGGGAGTCCAAAGTATTACACAAGGAGGAACAATGTTATACATATAATATAATTTTATAGTATACATTAGTATTAAATTATAGCTCAGATTCTTTTTTTTCTGTGAGAACTTGTTGTATTATAACATTTAGACAATGCTGTGTAATTTAAATGTAATAACACACATGTTTATTCAATATTCAGAGATTCTGCTTTCAACGTGTTGTCTGTGGATCAGAACACATAGATAACATCATGCCGGTAACATACAGGTCAATTAGCATGAGTTACACATGTATTTTCTTTTCCAAATCCCTTCATCCTGCTATAATAATGCTTTAGACACCAGCGAGAGTCTGTGTTTGTACACAGTCTCAAAAGGCTAAAGGCTAAAGGTCGAAATCACAGTTGTTTAGTTGTCAGTTTATACCAAACAGCATTTCCAGACTGTTCCCCTTAGACATCAACTAACTACATATATATATATATACAAAGTTAACCAAAAATAAATTTCATCATTCTTGGATCTAATAAGTGGCAATACACATTTAACACACACATCCATATTGGAGAAAACCAGCACTCAGAGAATGTATGAATTTGACACATTTGTTAGTAAAATTCACTTTAAAAGCTCCTCTTGTCATGTCATTATGACTGATAGGAACCATTATAACAAAGTTTATTTCTGGGTCAAACTGGCACAGTGGATTAGTCATGTCAAAAAAGAGAAACTATGGTCCTTCTACTAGTTATACTCTAATACAGGGATATTCAACTCTGGACCTTGCATGCCAGTTTCAACTTTCTGAACAGTGAAATATTTTTACCAGGTGGGTACAATAAATGACGCGGTAAAAGTTAAAACCAGCCGGCGGCTCTGGACCTCGTAGGGTTAAACCTGAACACCCCTGCACTAATCCAGAAATAATATCACGAGAAAAAAATATTTTACAATTTAAAACAAAAGCTCACTCATCATTTGCCAAACATCATCGATTTCCTGGGTCATTTTCTACACAAGTGACTCGGTATAATTTCCCCTTATTGCCAGATCTCGGGCTCACATTACTGCTAACAGTCCAGAGCTCTCCAGAGCCGACAGTTTGTTAAATCTCAACCGCCGTTTCAAAATCTGACAGGGCAAAGAGCAGGAGGGTTCAAGTGTCCGTTTAGACGTCGCTACCGTCACTAAAGACCCAGTCTGGTGCTCCGCGACTGTTAGCTGGGTTGTAGCATTGTAGCTACAAATACACCGCGCCTAGAAATGTTTGCATGGCAGCTGAAGACCCAGACACAACTGTTACTTTTTGCACCTCTAGGCACACTAGCCAAAATAACATCCCTGACCCGGCCACATTCCCGATCGGTCCGGTGCTTTCTGCCATCTCAGACCCGGCCATATTCCTGGTCAGTTCGGTGCATCCTGCCATCCCTGA